ATGCCTCAACCCATGCCTCACCCCATGCCTCACCCCATGCCCCACCCCATGCCAAACCCCATGCCCCACCCCATGCCTCACCCCATGCCTCACCCCATGCCTCACCCCATGCCTCAATCCATGTCTCACCCCATGCCTCACCCCATGCCTCACACCATGCCTCACCCCATGCCTCACCCCATGCCTCACCCCATGCCTCACTCCATGCCTCACCCCTTGCCTCACCCCATGCCTCACCCCATGCCTCACCCCATGCCTCATCCCATGCCTCACCCCATGCCTCACACCATGCCTCACACCATGCCTCACCCCATGCCTCACCCATGCCCACCCCATGCCTCACCCCATGCCCCACCCCATGCCTCACCCCATGCCTCACCCCATGCCTCAACCCATGCCTCACCCCATGCCTCACCCCATGCCTCACCCCATGCCTCACACCATGCCCCACCCCATGCCTCACCCCATGCCTCACCCCATGCCTCACCCCATGCCCCACCCCATGCCTCACCCCATGCCCCACCCCATGCCTCACCCCATGCCCCACCCCATGCCTCACCCCATGCCTCACCCCATGCCTCACCCCATGCCTCACCCCATGCCTCACCCCGTGCCTCACCCCATGCCTCACCCCATGCCTCACACCATGCCCCACCCCATGCCTCACCCCATGCCTCACCCCATGCCTCACCCCATGCCTCACCCCATGCCTCACCCCATACCTCACCCCATGCCTCACCCCATACCTCACCCCATGCCTCACCCCATACCTCACCCATCCCTCACCCCATGCCTCACACCATGCCTCACACCATGCCCCACCCCATGCCTCACCCCATGCCCCACCCCATGCCTCACCCCATGCCCCACCCCATGCCTCACCCCATGCCTCACCCCATGCCTCAACCCATGCCTCATCCCATGCCTCACCCCATGCCTCATACCATGCCTCACACCATGCCCCAACCCATGCCTCACCCCATGCCTCACCCCATGCCTCACCCCATGCCTCACCCCATGCCTCACCCCGTGCCTCACCCCATGCCTCACCCCATGCCTCACACCATGCCTCACCCCATGCCTCACACCATGCCTCACACCATGCCCCACCCCATGCCTCACCCCATGCCCCACCCCATGCCTCACCCCATGCCTCACCCCATGCCTCAACCCATGCCTCACCCCATGCCCCACCCCATGCCTCACCCCATGCCCCACCCCATGCCTCACCCCATGCCTCACCCCATGCCTCACCCCATGCCTCACCCCATGCCCACCCCATGCCTCACCCCATGCCCACCCCATGCCTCACCCCATGCCCCACCCCATGCCTCACCCCATGCCTCACCCCATGCCTCACCCCATGCCTCACCCCGTGCCTCACCCCATGCCTCACCCCATGCCTCACACCATGCCCCACCCCATGCCTCACCCCATGCCTCACCCCATGCCTCACCCCATGCCTCACCCCATGCCTCACCCCATACCTCACCCCATGCCTCACCCCATACCTCACCCCATGCCTCACCCCATACCTCACCTCATGCCTCACCCCATACCTCACCCCATGCCTCACCCCATACCTCACCCATCCCTCACCTCGTGTCTGCTCGCCATTTCGCCCACCACCTCTGCTGCCACCTCACACAGACAAGGCTCCTGGTGCATGCAATGCGTGCCATGTTTAGGAATGTTGCACGCCACGGGATGGAGGCGGGTTGGGGGGAAGCGGACATGAAGGAGCTTGAGAAGGAAAACATTAGAAACGGACAATAAAGCCAGAAAGGAAGCCAGACAAAGTTTTGCACGCACAGACCAGGTAGTGTTCCTTCCTACCTGGAGCGAGTCAACAGCCAGCTCCACCAATGGCAGCACATGTGACTGCCACGTGTCAGCTGCTAGTAGGTCCGTTAGGAAACCTATCCGCACCTTCAGGCAAGCACAAGAGTTCGGGGGAGGAAGAAGGAAGACGAGAAGCTTGCAGAACGGATGTATGAGGGGCTTCGGCAATACCGGGAAAGGAGATTGGCATGATAGGGGGATTGAAACTTGTTCTGCTTTTGAGTCGACTCAAATGCAATTCGGGTGCATAAGGGCCTCCAGAGATTAGGGGAAAGGAGATTGGCATGATAGGGGGGATTGAATTGAAACTTGTTCCTTTGCCGAGCTAAACATGCCGAGACAGGACTAGGTCGAATGCCAACCAACCCATGACAGCTGGCATGCTTCACGCCGACCCATGACAGCTGGCATGCTCTAAAAAACGATGAGGCGCCTTGCGCAAGCGACCCTGCCACGCCCTACCCTACCCATGACACACAGCTGGCATGCTTCACGCGTGTACCCATGCGAAGAGGCACCGGAGCGTCTTGTGCAAGAGGCTGAGTGCGGCAGAAGGGTCCACAGCTGCCACTGGCCCTGATGCTGCTGATGCAGGTGTTGTTTGCGACTGTGACAGTGCAGAGAGTGACAATGAGGAGGCTCTCTGAAGAAGAAGGGCCACGAATTTACTGTGGGAGAGGAGCTGTAAACGAGGGGGGATGGGGAAAATGGGGGAAGGATGGCGGGGGAGCGGGGGGGGGTGGGGGGGTAGAAGGAGCAAGGGAATGGGAGGGTGGGGCAAGAGGAAGAAAGGGTGAGATCGAGGAGAAGGGACAAGACAAAAGGGAGGCGATGGTGAGGAAAGGAGGATCAATGCGTGTCAAATATCACCCGCCGCCCTGGCCTCGAATCACCCCCACACAACATAAGTGCACATAAGTGCTTCCGCTGCAGTCACTCGCGCCCTCTCTCTTCTCCCCTATCCCCCCCTCGCTCCCTCACTCTTCACCTCCCCACACCCCTCCCACCCCCCCCCTCCATCGCGAGTCACCTCCAGGCAAAAGACATGCTTCCGCTGCAGGGTCACCACCCCCACGGACCACCGCTGCTCGTCCGTGCACTCATCCCCCACCGCCCCCAACAGTTCCACCACCCCCCCCAACACCCCCCCCACGCCCCCCCCTCCCCCTCCACCCTCTGCTGCTGACATGGCAGCTGCCAGCCTGGCCTCCAGGTCAGCAGCTGTGCCTGGCGATTGGAGGAGCAGCGCTGAGATGGACGCACAGATTTGAAGGAGAACCTGCGGAGGCGCGGGGATGGGGGGCAGATAGAGTGCAGAGGAAAGGGGAAAGGGGGAAGGGGAAAGGGGAAAGGAGAAAGGGGGAAGGGGAAAGGGGAAAGGGGAAAGGGGAAAGGGGAAAGGGGAAAGAGAAACGGGAAAAGGGGGATTGCAGGTGGGGGGGGAGAAAGAGCATGCGGAGTGGCACTGAGATGGGCGCACAGATTTGGAGCACAACCTACGAGGCCGTGGGAGGGGGCGGGAGGGGAGAAGGGGAGGACTATGATGCAGCTGGTTCAGTGGGTAGCATATGCTAGCTGGTTGCTCCGTCAGCGAGTAGCCCGACGTCTGGAGAGGGCAGGTGAATGCCGGGGGTGGTTGGGGGGGGTGGGAAGGAGGGTGAGGTGGGCAGGTAAGAGGGTGGGTTCGAGCGCTTGGGGGCGGGAGGGGAGAAGGGGAGGACTATGATGCGGCTGGTTCAGTGGGTAGCATATGCTAGCTGGTCGCTCCCTTGATGCTGATTGGGATGGATACTGTGGGTCGTTACCAGATGAACATTGGGGTCGTTACCTGGTGCTCATTTGTGTGGTTACCTGGTGCTCATTTGTGTGGTTACCTGATGATCATTGATGTGGTTACCTGATACTCATTCATGTGGTTACCTGATGATTTGATGTGGTTACCTGGTGACATTCATGTGGTTACCAGATGATAATTGATGTCGTGGTTACCTGATGCTGATTGGGGGCGCAGCAGAACGATTGGAAGAGGGAGAACAGAGCAGACAGCAGTGCGGCTCGCGCTGACGAATCAAGAGCGGACAGCTGTAGCTGAACCTTGGACCGTAGCGTCTGTGCGGCGAATAAGATCAACGCATTGGCAGACGGCGACATTCCCTGTGGCGGTTGCGAAGAGGAGGATGATGCTAGTAACGAGGCGGCACTAGCGAGGATGGAATGCGTGACCTGCCAGGCCTCCTGCGACTGCTGAAACGCGCCGAGCCATTGACCCGCCGCGGGGTCGTTGGCCAATAGGAGGCGGTCTAGCGCCGCCTGAAGCTGCTCCTGCATCTGCTGCTGCGACAGCTGCTGCGACGGCTGCGACATCTGCGACTGCTGCTGCGACATTTGCGGCTGCTGGGTCTGCTGCTCCTTCATTACCTGGTAACGACGGAGAGCACAGAGGGAAAGAGGGACGAAACAAGTGTAGGGCCTCGAGAGAGCGAGGAGGAGGAGGAGGAGGAGCCGCGGAGGGAGGAGTATACTGCGGATGATAAGAACGTATATGTGTCAAACAATGATGGATGTATGGCCACCACTAGCGCGACGCTGAGGATTCTGACCAGAACAGCCGGGAGAAGAGTGATGGAGTGACGTAGGTCGTGGAATCTACTAGGTGAGGGACGATGTGGTGAGAAGAGGACGAGGTAAGGGCGTCGGATTCTGCGGTAGTAATCCTATTCTTGTTGCGGATTCTACTTGGCCAAAAATAGTGTCGTCCCATGTGAAGGGACCTTGACATGGCGCCACCCCATAGAACCTGATTACAGAGCACAGAAACGCGAAGATGTGCGCGGAAACGCTCTCCACCGCACAAGGTCTCAGCTATCTCCCGCAGGGGTGCCATCCTCAGCTGTTTCTGGCACAAGCTTGGTGCTGATGTCGAATTCTGTGACGAGGAAATTCCTGCGATAATCTGGCGGGACAGATTTGCTACAAGAACACTGGATGTAACACAAAGAGGAATTATCAAGTTTTAGCGTCATAAGTCACTCGTGAAATTTACTACATCACCTACCGGTAAGATTGCGAGTTACCTATGCTGTTATCCTAGAGAAGTGGTATCGCAAGTTTTTCACCATGAAAACAGAGAGAATTCGAGAGGTAATTGATGAACTCTTCAACCTTCCATTCCACCATGCAAAGTGGTCGACATCACACTTCGTCAATAATTGGAAGATTTATTTACTGACACCGACAATACTACAAATACATCCCGGTTCAATCATATGCATAACTTTGCCAATGTCTATCATGATTGCCACAACTACCAGTAGCGGTCACTTGATGCCTTTGAGAGCGTCGAGGGGAATCGGACGGTCAGCAACGAACCCTGGGCGGATGAAGGCATCGGGCGGAGCGGGCATTTCCCAGAAGTTGGTGAGCGACTTGGCTCTCTCCACGCGCGCCGCCACTGCGTCCCACGACAGCAGGTGCTGCAGGAACGCCTCGATATAAGCTGACCTGCTATCGGGATAGTCTGAGAGGTAGGCATGCTGGGAGGAGGTAGGACGGGGGTAGAATGACGGGGGAGAAGGGGAGTGAGTGAGAAGAGAGGGGGAAGAGGAGGAAAGGAACAATGACAGAGGGCATGATCAAGGACGAGGACATGACATAGGACATGGCGTAGGACATGGATGGCACAGGACATGGCATAGGAAATGGATCCCACCTCCTGCAGAGTAATCACTCATCTGCTACAATCCATCATCACGCATCCAACACGACCGGGCATCACCCACTGTCAATAAGCAACCACCAGCCACGCTCAACCACCACGGGCGACATTAAAGAAGGCAACGACCGTACCTCCCACAAGTCGATCACTGCCAGAGGCTGCAAGCGTGGGCACCACAAGAAATTACGGGAGGGAGAGGAGTGGCAGGCAAGACAGAGAGTGGATGAGTGAAGGAGAAGGGGGAGGAGGGGGGCAGAGGGTACGGGGAGAGAGCAGGAGAGCAAGAATGGGAGAGAAGGGTGGGAGGGTGGGAGGCGGGTGGGGGAGGGACGAAAGTGAGATGATTTGTCGGAGTACTCTCCACAAGTCATAAATGCAGGTGGTATATATTGAGGGCATTCGTACAAGCAAAGAAAAGAGAAAGAAACGCAAATACGTTTTCTGAAGGGGAAAAATCATCGAGGTACTTACAATCTAAGTTGGAAAAAACTCTCAACTTAGATTGCGTATAGCGTTTAAACGCATAAGAAATACGAACGCTGCGTTTTTGGTGTAGATACGCCGAAATACGCTCAGGCTGCCCGGAAAAAAACCAAAAATTTGCCAACGCTTTGCGACATTGCGAACCAAAATTTCGCCTTCGCACATTGCGAACTCAAATTTGAGTTTTGAATTTCCAACCCGAAGCTCACCAAACCCCCCCCCCCCTTTGACCCATTCCCACCCCTCACCACCCCGTCACTTCTCAACCCCTCCCAACTCATCCTTGAGAGGGGTTGGCATCAAACAGAGCCAGCTTCCCAAGCATAAATTACCGCCATTTTACCCCCCCCCTTCCCTGCCTTCCCCACCACTTAACCCCAATTTTTGCCTGCCCGGAAAAGTTGCCCAGACCACCGTATTCCATGCGTTTCCGACCCCCTCCATTCTGGAGTATTGCGTATTAACGCTCTCGTACAAAACGCGATACGCGAATATTCCAACTTAGCTTACAATGCGATCGAAGACAATCGGGTTGAAAGCATTCACCGTGCTCTCGACTCGTAAGTGAGCCACCTGCAGACGATAGGCGTTGGGCACTGGGCGAGATAAAGGAAATAGAAAGGGAGATTAAAGAGAGGGAGGAGACGTGACTGGGATAAAATAAAGACGTTTCATGCAACTTTCAATGAAGAGGATGAAGAATGCCCTGTCTGTCTCCTCCAAAGTTTCCTTCAACGTTCTACAACGCAGCTGCTGCGTATATTCAGCCCTCTCGTATATTCATTACCAGACTGCTAATCACATGCCAGCTTCAAATGCAGCTAGCACCAAACACACGATCACCTCATGCAGCCACTGCATGTGATCAAACCCTTCACCTGGCATGGTGGGTAAATTAACCACGCATGTAACACCTCAACCCCTCCCCCCACCTCAACCTCCCCCCACATCACCCCTTCCCCCACCTCACCCCTTCCCCCACCTCATCCCTTCCCCCACCTCACCCCTCCCCCCACTTCACCCCTCCCCCCACCTCATCCCCCCCCTCCCCCACCTCATACCTCCCCCCTCACCTCATCCCTCCCCCCTCCTCAACCCTCCCCCCACCCCATCCCTCCCCCACCCCATCCCTCCCCCCACCCCATCCCTCCCCCCACCCCATCCCTCCCCCCACCCCATCCCTTCCCCCACCCCATCCCTCCCCCCACCCCATCCCTCCCCCCTCCTCAACCCTCCTCCCACCCCATCCCACCTCGCATGTCTGCAAGCCACTCCTCGGGAACCACTGTGTCCACCTTGGCTGGCGACCCGGGAGGAGAGGAGGGGGAGGGGGGAAGGCGAGGAGAGGAGGTGAGTGAGAAGGCATGCTGAGGGGCCTAAGCACGAGCCACTCCTCAGGAACCGCTGATCCCACCTTGGCTGGCGACCGGGGGGGGGGGGGAGGAGGAAGACGGGAAGGAATAGAGAAGAAGAGAGCCGTGTGTGTGCAAATGGAAGACATGGCGCAGTGCGTGAGAAGAGAGCGATGGGAGACAGAGGACAGGAGGAAGAATATTCCTCGTGTGTGACCAACCGACCAACCGACCGACCGACCTGAGAGCCACACGTATCCCGAGCCAAACGAAGAAGCACACGCCTGTCGGAACTCCCTCTCAAACCCCTCAAACGACCCAAAGTCCCGCTCCACCAGCCGCAGCACCTCCCCATCCGGCCGGTTGCCCTCCTCCCTCCCCTCCGCCTCGTCTGCCGGCTGCATACCAGAAAAGAAGAACTCGTGGCTCCACGCCTGAGGGGGAGAGAGGGAGGAGAGAGGTGGGGAGAGGGAGGAGAGAGAAGGGGGGAGAGGGAGGAGAGAGAGGGGGGAGAGGGAGGAGAGAGTAGGGGAGAATGAAGGAGATGGGGGGAGGAAGATCAGTCGCAGCACCTCCCCCTCCGACCGGTTGCCCCCCTCCCTCCCCTCCGCCTCGTCTGCCGGCTGCATGGCCGAGAAGAGGCACTCGTGGCTCCACAGCTGAGGGGGGCGAGGGAGGAGAGAGTAGGGGAGAATGAAGGGAGGAGAGAGTGGGGGAGAATGAAGGGAGATGGGGGGAGGAACTCGTGGTTCCACACCAGTGGGGGGGAGAGGGGGGATGCCGGGGGAGAAAGTGAGAGGCACAGAGGGAGGGACTTAAACTGTGTTTGTGGTGGCATGAAAGACCAACTTTACACACACGCTGTAAGCCCATCAAATCTCTGCAGCACCTCGTTCGTTACAAGCACATCTCTCCTCACCTCAGCAGCCAGGTTGAAGCAGGGAAGGGGGTTCCCCCCGTTATAAGCCACCTTCACCAGCTCCTCCAGCGGCAGCCGCTTCAGCGCCAGGTCAGCATCCAGCTGGCGGTTCAGCGCCGCCAGCTGGCGCCCGTGGTGGCCCGACCAGTGGGCTTCGAGCGACGAGCGTGAGATGTGCGGCTCTAAGGCGTCCTGGGCAAAGACAAAAGCAGGGGGCGGCGCGGGGTGGGGGGGGGGGGGAGAGGGAGGGTGGAGAAGGAGAAGTACAAGGGTGGGTGAGCAAGGGAGGGAGGGGGGGCGTGATGCACGATGATGATGAGCATGGAGAAGAGGATGCCAGGGGGATGGGGAAGGGGATGTATAGATCATCGCAAACAGATTGGCAATAGATTGTGGCAAACAGAAACGAGGCTCCAGAAGGTCGGGAAAGGGAGCTGCGGGCATTCGGAATTCGGGGCTAAGGGAATCAAATCCATCTGAAAGGGGAGAGTGCAGGGTTCAGGGTTTAGGACCTGGAAAACCCAGATGGAAATAGGGTCCTGGGTTTTAGCGGAAAAATACCAGCTGGTATGGCAGCGGCGCTAGCAGGTGATCCCCCACCGCGCGCACCACTACCAGCCCCCCGCGCCAACCCGCCTCCGCGGATGGGGCAGCTGTTCTGTGCGCGGATGTCCGCCCAGGGGCTATCCGTGCCCCGCTAATTCGCGCGAGGCCAGGCTGGCGCGGGTGCGGCGGAGAAGAGCGGGTTGAGGGGGGTTGGGAGGGGAAGCAGGAAGGAAGGGTTGGGTTATACCGCCGCATTGCGTGCTGCGACTATCTCTGGTCGACTTGACGCGCTGCCGGCGCACGCTCTGCCGGCGCATCAATCTGACAACCACGCAGCGCATCATACTGATCGCACCTATTTGTAAGCGGAGATTAAAGATAGCGAACAGCGACGCGGGCCGACCTGAATGCTTCGCACGCGTGACTTGCTGCCCGCATTGGACGGCGAGACGGACGCTGTCGTCCGTTGCCGGCCGAGGGTCGATCTCGCCTGTAGCGAAGACGCGCACTGGATCGGTACCACGCGACTCGTCGCCGCCATAACTGGAGCGGTCGTTAGGGAATGACTTTGACCGGAAAAGATGACGAAAAACCGCGGGCTTCTCCAGAAGAGGATGCGAGCTCGCGAAAACGCCTCGAGTCGCGCAAGAAGACGGCCCACAAGCTCCTAATCTGGTTACGGAGCTGGGCTGGCGTGAAGTTTCAACGCTGGAGCGTACCTCGAGGCAAGTGATGACTTAAGGGGAGTTTGGCAACGGCAGCCCAGTGTTCCCTCTTTTGTTCTCGCGATCGGTGCGTGATCCATTCACGAAGAAATTTTGTACGCAGTTCGGCATGAACCTGGACTGTGTTCAGTGTTCTTTTCCTAAAAATGTTCGTGAAAAACTGTTCGCGAAAAAATGTTCGTGAAAAAATGCTGGCGAAAAAATGTTCGCGAAAAATGATCATGAAACTAGGTCAGCACTGTCCATTCACACACAGCCGACAGCTTCGACCACTCCTTGACTCGCAACTGCTGGAGGATCCGAACCGGTGGAAACTGACCCGATCCTTGAACAGTCCCCTGCTTCGTGAACTTCCAGGTAACCCTACAACAATGTGCGCCTTATCCACGTGGGAAAAAAACAGAGCTTCGGTATTCCCGCTTTTATTTCAGCCATAGAAACAGCCATGGCATTCCGCCTTCTCAGAACCGCATTTATGATCGTGAAATACGTGAAATAAGACAGGTTCAACGACCTGGCGCCGCGATAGTTCTCGTGGCTCGCTGTTGCATTAGCTAGCGTGGAACACGGCGGCCTTGCTAACTTCCGGACGGCTCATTCTCCATCACGATCCTAGTAGGATCAGGAGCTCATTGCTCCTGATTTCCCCTTACTAGGGACCGCTTTCGTGTTTATAAATCGTAAGGTTTCGTTCCGTTACCTCTTCGAGGCCAGCAGTGTTACACGAGTGACTCTGAATCGACTCGAGGGTGAGGGGAGGACGCAACGGCACACCATTTATCCCGCTCGCTCGAAACTTTTGTCGATCTGCGCCGATGGCCCTCCAGGCGCTAGGGGCGCCGTCAAACGCGCTAGTAGGCGAACGCTGCACTGCAAACCCGGTCACTTCGCGACATTCGCGACATTCGCACCTCGAGAATGCCGCGTCGTTCGTCTGCGGCCTTCCGACGCTGAGCGCCTCACAGCCGACCAGACGTCAGCCTATGAGATCACAGCGCGACGCACGAGACGATGCGCGGAGGAGCGGCGCGATGGTGCCGATTCGCGCCCTCGACGCTGCACAGCCGTTCGATTACGAGCACCAACAGGTGATTGTAGCGAGACACCGGCGAGTTACTATAACGAGATAAGGCTTTTAATAGAGTCTCAGCCTCTCGTTAATTGTATATTAGAGTCTCCTTTGCATCCGCACTGTCTCGACCGCCATTATTAACGTGACGAGTCTATTTTTGAGGCGCCTCAAAAATAGACTCCTGAGTTAACTCATCTTGACCTGACCGCCATTGCCGTCATTCCCCCAGCTCCCCTGTGCCTTTCCCCTCACACCCCCCCAACCCCGTCCCTTCGCCCCGCATCCCTGCTCCCCTATCTTCCCCCGTATCCCGGTCAGAAGCGGCGCCTGGAGGAGAAGGGCAGGCTGAAGATCGGCATTCTGGGGTTCGGCAACTTCGGGCAGTTCCTGGCGCGGCGATTCGCGCGCCACGGGCACCGCCTTATCGCGTGGTCGCGGTCCGACTACTCCCAGGTCGCCAAGCAGATGGGCGTGCGCTTCTTCACGTGAGTTCTTCACCCCTCTGTGTTAGTCGACGCGGGGGACGCTTTCTGTGCTGCTGTGCTGCTGTGCTGCTGTGCTGCTGTGCTGCTGTGCTGCTGTGCTGCTGTGCTGCTGTGCTGCTGTGCTGCTGTGCTGCTGTGCTGCTGTGCTGCTGCGCTGCTGCGCTGCTGTGCTGCTGTGCTGCTGTGCTGCTGTGCTGCTGTGCTGCTGTGCTGCAAGTCCATCATCTCCCGCGGCAGCCTGCTTTGTGCAACTTCCCCCCTCCCCCGCTTCCTCCCATTCTCCTCAGCGACGTGTGCGACTTTTGCGAGGAGCATCTGGGCGTGGTGCTGCTGTGCTGTGCTGTGCTGTGCTGTGCTGTGCTGTGCTGTACTGTGCTGTGCTGTGCTGTGCTGTGCTGTGCTGTGCTGTGCTGTGCTGTACTGTGCTGTGCTGCGCGCCCATCATCTGCAGCTATAGCCTCCTGCGGTCGCTGTTGTCCATGACGCCTTCCCCCCCACTTCCCCTGCCGTCCCTCTTGTCCCAATCCCCGCAGCGACATGGACGATTTCTGCAAGGAGCATCTGGACGTGGTGCTGCTGTGCTGCTGTGCACGTCCACCATCTCCTGCCGCTGCGCTGCGCTCTCACGCTGCCCTTTCTATTGTTCCCAATCCCCGCAGTGACTTGGACAATTTTTGCGAAGAACGCCCGGACGTGGTGCTCCTGTGCACGGCCATCATCTCCAGCGACAGCCTGCTACGGTCGCTGCCGGCCATGATGTCCCATCCCCTATGTGTGCCCGTCCCTCCCACCTCTTGCAGCGATGTGGATGATTTCTGCGAAGAGCACCCGGACGTGGTGCTGCTGTGCACGTCCATCATCTCCAGCGACAGCCTGCTGCGGTCGCTGCCGCTGCAGCGGCTCAAGCGCAACACGCTCTTTGTGGACGTGCTCTCAGTGAAGGTCTTCCCCAAGATGCTGCTGCTGCAGGTGGGTTAGTGTGTGTCACGAGGCTTGGCCCTAAGCTGTACGCACCTCAGATCCGCCCAGTGGCGGCTCAAGCGCAACACGCTCTTTGTGGACGTGCTCTCAGTCAAGGTCTTCCCCGAGATGCTGCTGCTGCAGGTGGGCGACGGTGTGTGTGTGACATGACTCATCAGGCCTGGTGGTATGCTGTATGCTGCTGCTGCAGGTGGGCGGTTGTGTTTATGCAATGGTGCTATGCTGATCCGTTGGGGCTTGCTGATGATGACTGGTAGGCTCTTTTACACCCCAGAATCCCTCCTTTTCCTCCCATTCGCACCCCTTCCATCTTCCCTATTTCTCAGGTGCTCCCCCCCGAGTTTGACATCCTCTGCACGCACCCCATGTTCGGCCCTGAGAGCGGCAAGGGCTCGTGGGAGGGGCTGCCATTTGTGTTTGACCGCGTGCGCATCACACCGGGGGAGCGGGAGGAGAAGGCCGATCGGTTCCTGCAGATCTTCCAAGGGGAGGTGGGTGGAGGTGTGGGGCCAGGATAGGTAAGCGCTTGACGCACTTTGACTCTTTGAGGGCTCGTGGGAGGGGCTGCCGTTTGTGTTCGACTGCGTGCGCATCACACCGGGGGAGAGGGAGGAGAAACCGGACCGCTTCCTGCAGATCTTTCAAGGCGAGGTGAGCGATTGGTGCACAACGAGGTGGGCGAGTGGTGCACAACGAGGTGAGCGAGTGGTGCACAACGAGGTGAGCGAGTGGTGCACAACGAGGTGAGCGAGTGGTGCACAACGAGGTGGGCGAGTGGTGCACGAGGTGGGCGAGTGGTGCACAACGAGGTGGGCGAGTGGTGCACAACGAGGTGGGCGAGTGGTGCACAACGAGGTGGGCGAGTGGTGCACAACGAGGTGGGCGAGTGGTGCACAACGAGGTGGGCGAGTGGTGCACAAAGAGGTGGGCGAGTGGTGCACAACGAGGTGAGGAGATGGGGGTAAAAGGCTGCCGTTTGTGCTCGACCGTCCGTGTGCGCATCACCCGGGGGGAGAGGGAGGAGAAGGCGGACCGCTTCCTGCAGATATTCCAGGGCGAGGTGAGGGGAGGGTGTGAGGCAAGAGGAGGTGAGGAGATGGCGCAAGGGGGGGCGAGTGAGGCGATGGATGATGCAAGCTCCCCGAAGGAGAAACAAGATGAGGGCCTGCCGGAATGTGTTTGATTGAGTGCGCATTATAGCGGGTGAACAAGAGCAGAAGGCTGTCTGGTCCCTGCAGATATTACAGGGCGAGGTGAGGGGAGGTTGTGAAGTGAGGTGAGGGGATTACCAAAGGTTTCAATTCAGCAGATGGTTTCAATTCAGCAGATGGTTTCAATTCATGCTCCACGATTAATTGTCGTCTCCTCGTGGAGCATGGCTAGGAGTACATTCCTGGCCAGTGTGCTGTGGTGTCACCTTGTCATGTCAGCAGCACTGCCGTGTGCCCGCCACTCATAGCAAGGCTAGCAAGCCTTCACATGGACTCTCCAATTCTCGGCCGCATCGCAGCGCATGTCAAAAGTACCCGTTTCGCCAATCCCCGTATCTTATCCCCTCCCCTCCCCTCGCATCCCATCCCATCTCCCCCCAATGCGCGAACCCCGCCATGTGCCAGGGCTGTCGCATGGTGGAGATGACATGTGAGGAGCACGATAAGTACGCAGCTGGCACGCAGTTTGTCACGCACACGGTCGGCAGGTGAACGCCCTTCCCCTCGTGCTCCTTTGCACCCTCTCCCCACCCACCTGTCATTCATCCCTCGTTCATTTTGAACAGCCCTTGTATTTTGCGTTTTCAGTATCTACAGTCAATTCACTGCTGTAATTTGATAATGAACCCATGATGATTATTTTATTTTAAAAGCGGCCTAGAAGTGTATTCGTCCACATGAGCCCTTGTAGGCGAGACCTTTCTTTCCGTCTCCTGGTCCTCTGTTATGTAAATGTTTCGTGTGCCTATGCACCTGTGCACGTCCCATGTTTGCATGCACGCGTGGTATGGGTGCTGCATGTATGTATGAACACATGGCTGCATGGGTGCATGTCTGCATGGCTGCATGGCTGCATGGCTACATGGGTGCATGGATGGATGGGTGCATGGATGCGTGGGTGCATGGGTGCATGGATGCGTGAGTGCATGGGTGCATGGGTGCATGGGCGCATGGGTGCATGGGTGCATGGGTGCATGGATGCGTGGGTGCATGGGTGCATGGGTGCATGGGTGCATGGATGCATGGGTGCATGGATGCGTGGGTGCATGGGTGCATGGATGCATGGGTGCATGGGTGCATGGATGCGTGGGTGCATGGGTGCATGGGTGCATGTGTCACGCGGTGGCAGAGTGCTGGGCAAGCTGGGCCTGGAGAGCACTCCCATCAACACCAAGGGCTACGAAACTCTCCTCAACTTGGTAAAGTAACACACTGCAACACGCACATTGCTACAGTCACACCTCCATGCTCCCTCAGCTTCTCTCTATAGTCACCTCGATGCCTCTAATCCGCCTGGCCTGGGTGAATCATCCCCTCTGTTTCTTCCCCATGTGTTTCTTCCCCATGTGTTTCTTTCTGCTCTCCTCTGTCTCCCTCACTCTCATCACCTTGCTTCTTATCTCAAGCTGCTGCGTTGTTTGCCTTCCTGTCTTAAGCCCCCAGTGGCTCTACAACATTGACCCTTCTGCGTGCAGGTGGAGAACACGTCAGGCGACAGCTTCGACCTCTACTATGGGCTCTTCATGTACAACACCAACGCCACAGAAGAGGTACAGCGTTTGTTGGTGTGGCGTTTATATATATATGTTTTTTTTTTTTTGAATCCACTGATGCATTTGGGTGGAAAGGACTTCTTGGCTGAGCATCTTGATTCCCGTGCCTCCTTCTCCCTCCGCTCCCCTCTCCCCTCCCCTACTTTTCGCTCCCTCCAGCTGCAGCGCGTGGAGATGGCATTTGACGCAGTGAAGAAGCAGCTGCTGGATCAGTGAGTCGACTCAAAAGTCACCTACACCGGCACACAGCAGTTGCGGTGAAGAAGCAGCTGCTGGATCAGCGGCATGCCGTGCTCGGCTGAGCATCTTGATTCCCTTCCCTTTTCCTCTCCCCGCTTCCTCCTCCCCTCCCCTTCTCTTGTCTCCCCCTCAGCTTCAGCGTCTGGAGATGGCATTTGAAGTTGTAAAGAAGCAGCGGCACGCCGTGCTGCGGCTGAGCATCTTGATTCCCGTGCCTCCTTCTCCCTCCGCTCCCCTCTTCCCCTCCCCTACTTTTCGCTCCCTCCAGCTGCAGCGCGTGGAGATGGCATTCGACTGCGCACCTTTATCCCACTCCCATCTCTCGTTTGCCTGCGTTCTCCCCCCTGCAGCTGCAGCGCGTGGAGATGGCATTCGATGCAGTGAAGAAGCAGCTCTTGGCCCAGCTGCACGCCGTGCTGCGGCTTCAGCACCTCAGCATGCCGCCTTCCATACTCTCCTCGCTGCTTCCGCTGCCCCTCCCCTCTCCTGCCCCCCTGTTGACCCCCTGCAGCTGCAGCGCGTGGAGATGGCATTTGACGCGGTGAAGAAGCAGCTGCTGGACCAGCTGCACGAAGTGCTGCGGCTTCAGCTCTTCGGCATGCCCCCTTCCGCCACCGCCCTCCCTTCCTCTTCCTCCTCTCACCCCTCCTCGTCTTCCTCCTCCTCCTCTCTCACCTCCTCCTCACTCACCTCCTCTGTTCCTCGATCGCCCACGTCCGAGCAAAGCCTTCCCACCCTTCCACGACGGCCTTTGTTCCCTCGAAGTGGTAACCATGGTAACAGTGGTAACAGCAGCAGCAGCAGTGGGTCTGAGTCAGAGAGTGAAGATTGGAGCCATAAGGGGGCTGTGCACAGACAGGTGTTTGTGGACCAGGAAGTGCCGGTAGTTGATGGTGATGGTTCTTCTGCGGCGGTTTACTCGTTTGGCGACACGACGGATGCTGGGGGAAGCAGTGCGAGCGAGGAGGAGAGCGGCAATGACAAAGGGAAGCTGGCATCACAGGCTGAGAGGAGATGAGAAGTGTGTGTGCTGCACGCCCAACTCGGGAGGCTCGTAAGGGTGTTGTTGCGAAGCATACAACAATATCGAGGCTGGAAGCAGGAAGTTGCCATGTCATCACAGGCAGATAAGAAGCAAAGATTCGCAGCTTGGTTTTGGCCAAGCATACATTTGATGCCTTTTCACGCTGCTGTAGTAGGAGCCGAAGGTATTTCTAAACATGTGTTGGAAGGACATTTATGTTCTATGTGAGTAACCTTCAGTGGTTGGTTTTGCAACCTGATCAAACGACAGATACCAGACACCTATATCGAGAAGTCTCACAAGCCGTATGAATTCTATCTCGTGAAAACTGACGCGCTACATTGCGTCCGGTTCTCCGATCATTTTCCGATCTCGGCACTGTAGAAAGCTGGTAACCTGACAGCTACTTGTCTCGAAATAGTCATGCAGCAGATCGGAGGGCAGGATCACTTTCGAAGCCAAACCGGGAATGAATCGGGAATCCCTAAACCCTGAGTCCAAAACACTAACGATCCTCCTCGGCAAAGTCCCAGATGGCTTCACCTCAAATGCCACGAAATCAAAAGCGCTTCGCCAGCCCGCCATTGCGAAAAATGCTGGGTGGACTCGAGTCACGGTTTAGTGTGTGTTGGAAATTGGGCATGTCCTGGGAGGGTTGCTGGGTTTTGACGAAGTGTTCTGCGAAATGCCATTCTGTCCAGCTGCAAATCGATACTCGAGATCGGAAGTTACAAATCTGGGACATGGCTATGTCGCGTTCGTGATCGATATTGCAGATCGTTTTTACTGAAACAGAATCGAAGTCAGACAATTGAAGCAGACAATTGAACAATTTAACGCGATCCTCCGAAACGGACGCGATGTACCGCGCCCTTACACCAACGTGTCTCCAGCAACTTGCCGTCGGTCACTGGATGTTCCTCTCGTCCCCATTCCCATTCCCACCCTTCTTGAACCCGCCGCATCCCCCGCCCCGTCCTCACTTTCCCCTTCCCATTCCATCTCTCAATTGGAAAATCGTTTCCTCTCATTCCTCACTCGTAGCGATTCCGTCACAAGCCCTCCAGAGCCATACGCGCTATAGCGCTGTTCGCGCTAAGAGCACAAGTATGGATTCGCTCGACCATAACATCCTCGTCGACATTCTCACTCGCGCGCGCCTCGAGCCGTTAGATCTCTGCCGTCTATCGACGCTCGGCCGCAAATGGCGGGCGGCGTGTCGCGCTCCGCCGCTCTGGCGCCGCGTGCGCGCGGACGGCGAGGCCGGCGGGAATCTCTACGGCGCGGGATTGGAGCAGATCGCGGGGCGATGCGGGGAAACCAGGGAGATTGCCCTCAGTCACGTGCACATACTGGTATGAATACCCCCACTGGTATGAATATACCCCAGGAGTTGTGGGGGTCACCAAACTGTAGTCTGTGCGCAGAGAGGTAAGCAGACGGACGGCGAGGCCGGCGGGAGACTGTACGAGGTGACTTTTGAGTCGACTCTAAAGCGAACGGATGGCGAGGCCGGCGAGAATCTCTACGGCGCGGGGCTGGAGCAGATCGCGGGGCGGTGCGGGGAAACCGAGGAGATCGCGTTCAGCCGCGTTCACATACTGGCATGGTGGGCTGACAACTCGCTCGTCTGTACGCCTAGTATTGTGTATATCGCGTACAGAAGGGATCTGCTGCTACTGCTGGTGCTGGTGCTGGTGCTGGTGCTGCTGGTGCTGCTGGTGCTGCTGGTGGATGCTCGTTCGTCAAGCTCAACGCTATCCTCCCAATCGTTGCTCCCAAGCTCGACTCAAGAGCAGACAAATCGCTCCTCATACCTGCTGCTGTCCCCCTTCCTCTTCCCCAGGAGCGCCCCAACCCCTGGCTGCACCACGGGCTGGAGCTGCTGCTGGCTGCTCCCCTCTTACTCCATCTTTCCCCTCCGCATATTTCCCCTCTCCCTCCTCTCTCTCCCCCCCCAGGAGCGCCCCAACCCCTGGCTGCACCACGGGCTGGAGCTGCTGCTGGAAGGCACAGGGGGCGGGCTCAGGCGACTCAGCCTCGAATTTGAGTGGCAGGTGGGTGCTGGGGAAGGTGGGTTCTGGGGAAGGGGGATGCTCGGAAAGGTGGATTCTGGGGAAGGGGGATGCTGGGGAAGGTGGATTCTGGGGAAGGTGGGTGCCAGGGAAGGCGGGTTCTGGGGAAGGGGAATGCTGGGGAAGGTGGATTCTGGGGAAGGTGGGTGCCGGGGAAGGTGGGTTCTGCGGAAGGCGAGTGCCGGAGAAGGTGGGTTCTGGGGAAGGTGAGTGCCGGGGAATGTGGGTACTGGGGAAGGTTGGTGCTGGGTGGGAGAAGGGGTATGGGTTTAGATGACCATGTGGCCCTCGCACGTGATTAAGATCATGTGCTATTACTCTCGTGCGTTGTACTGAAGTGTCTCAAAACCATGTGGTTCATGTGCTATTGCTCTCTTGCACTCACTGTGCACTTGTTCCCTCCCATCCCGCCAGGTGCCTTTCACAGACCGCCTGCTGGGGGCGGTGGGGCGGCTACATCCCTCTCCACAGTTCTCTGTCGCTGATTGCCCTGCGCCCCTTTTGCTTCACCTCTCTGCACTCCCTCGCACCCCGCCAGGTGCCTTTCACAGACCGCCTGCTGGGGGCGGTGGGGCGGCTGTGCCCTGACTTGGAGGAATTCACGCTGATCGCTGCAGACTACCTCGTCACAGAGACTGCTGTGAGTCGCGATGGGGGTGTGACTATAGTGAAGTGAATGTAGGCTATGCAGGGATGGAGCTGACTTGGAGGAATTCACGCTGATTGCTGCGGTGCGGACTACCTTGTCACAGACTGCTGTGAGTTGCGGTGGGGGTGTGTGTGACTATTACTAGGAGGTAACGACCAAACTGCTGCTGAGTGTGGGGAAGCTGGGGGAAGTGTGTGGAAGGTGCGTGGTGTAATTATGCACATGGTAAGGCATGCAGTGATTTGGCTGCCCTCACTCTTCCGCTTCACTCTCTTCCCCCTCTCTCTCCTCTTCCCTCAGGTGGCAGCCTTCCTCCGCGCCTGTCCCAAGGTGCACAGCTCCCACTGCTGCGTGCACTCCTTGCTCCTCCTGCTCACACCCTCTGTTCACCCATCCTTTCCCCCTTCCATTGCCCCCTCCATTCCCCCATCCTTTCCCCCCTCCGCTCCCCTCTCCTTTCTCCTCTTTCCACCCCTCCAGGTGGCAGCCTTCCTCCGAGCCTGTCCCAAGGTGCACAGCTTCCACTGCTACGTGCGGTCAGCCATCCCCATCCACAGCCTGGGGGACAACCTCCTGTGGCAGGTGCGGCACGCGTATGCATGTATTTGAACATGATTCCAGGTGCATATGGGTGAAAACAGGTGGCAACGTCCTCTGCTGCGTGCGTCCAGCCATCCCCATTCACAGCCTGGGAGACAACCTTCTGCGGCAGGTGTGCATAGGGTGTCTAACATAGGTGAAGATGGGTGTGAACAGGTGGCTGATTCCACTGCTATTTCCGTCAGGTGAACCGCAAGTGGCCGCACCTGCAGTCCCTCGCCATCAACGGCAGCCACATCTCGGAGAACGGCGTGTTTGCCCTCGCCTTGTGCTCCCATCGGCTATCGTTCAGCGTGCAAACTTCCACCATCCGTCCCATGACCCCCTCAGGTGAACCGCAAGTGGCCGCACCTGCAGTCTCTGGCCATCAACGGCAACCACATCTCGGAGAACGGCGTGTTTGCCCTCGCCTCTTGCGCCCATCTGCACTCCCTCGCCCTCCATGGCTACCAGAGGTGAGCTGCCCTGTGATTAGCTGGTACGAAAATATTTTCAGTTGCAGCTATATTGATGGTACCTTCCAGATTCTCACATCTCTGCACCCGCCCCTTCTGCCAAGGCATGTCATGTGATGGTGTACCATGTCACAGTGTGCCATGCTATCACATGTCTTGTGACGGCATGTCATGTGGCTTGTCCTGCCAAATCATGTAGTCCTTGCCTGATCCTGGTTCCTCCTCTCCCTGCTCTCTCTCCTCAGAGGCATATTTGAGAGAGCCAAAACCACAGCAGATGGCGACACCGTCATCTTCCCGGTTCTCTCCTCCCTCTCCTTCTCCTACAACCTCCCCTCCACGGCCGAGCTTCGCCGAATCCTCCGCATGTGTCCCTCGCTCGCCTCCCTTGCGCTGCACCCCTCCCCCCCTCCTCCTGAAGCCACCCCCGGCAGCCCCAGCAGTGGGCTTGTGAGGGGCAGCAGAGGCATGCAGGATGCTGTGAATCTGCAGGGGGTGGTGGAGCAGGAGTGTAAGGGGGCAGTGAGTGTGATTATAGAGGAAGCGCCTGCTAAGAAGACTAGTTATGACTTGACTGCTGTGGCACATAGCTTGGGGATCAAGGATTTGACCAAGTACTGATGGGTGTTACCAGTCTGCCATCTGCTGAGAGTGTCAGATTGTTGAAGTTAGATCAATAATTAATGAAGCAACTGATTTATTGTTGCTCATTGGTTAGTTGATCAGTGAAACAGAGAGTTCAAAGAATAAACTTTTAACTCAATGTGCAAAAGTAAGCAGGAATTTTTAAGATTGTCATGTTCATGTCAGGTCTGCAAGTACTGGAGACTACACCAGCATGGGATGGCTGCAAATTGTGTTCATATTTCTGACATACTTAGTCTCCTAGCTCTCGGAGGTGCTGTTCCTTCCAGGTCCGGCTTCATCGCATCCCTCTAGAAGCAGCAATTCCACGTCGGACACCGACACAGAAACATGACTGGCAGTGGATTGCCGTGAGCGGTCTTCATCAATGCTGGTCAGCGAATTTCGCTCCACCCCAGAAGCCCTGAGGAAAAGGATACGCCTTCCGAGGTTCTTCGCAATGTCGTACTCCCGCTCGCTGTATCCACTAGTCCTGTCCGCCGCCTGGACGACATTGCTCTTACGCTGCTGGGTTGCTCCACGATAACTCTGCTCCTCCTTCGACCTGGCTTGATTCAGCAAAGGAGCGCTAGGCTGGCGGCTCAGAACGCTTCCTGGTTTCATCTGACCGTTTTTTGTACCAGAAGAACCCTGATTAAACAGGCCGTTTTGATAGATAGATCTGAAAGGTGGCCGGATGTGGAGCGACGGTGCGGAGGAACGAGCAAGTGATAGCGGACTGGAACTTCCGTTGGAACCCTCAAATGTGCCATTGTGGCTACCGAAGACGTAGGATAAGGAAGGACAATGCTCCTCCACGAGAGGCTGGAGCAACTCGGTCACTGCAAGAGAATCTTGAGTCATCAACACAATCTACCATCTAGCAGTGTAGTTCAGCCAGAACACCCACCTGGAGGGACTCGAGACATATATTGATGAACCTTATTGTTCGTTTCCTGGCTTCCCTCCATCCTGCAAATAAGTTTGTCTTGCTTGGAAGAATAGCGAGAAAGTGACAGTCGCTGGCCTTGTTCAGAATGACAGAAACAAAATGGTGAAGCTCTATGGTCTAGGTGAATGTGGGCAAGGGTGAAACAGACGGGTGGAGTTGTGTTGGACTGTATTGCTCACGAGGGATTGGTGGGTAGTTGTAGGAGAGTTGGAATGGAATGGAACTAAAGAATTTCGTTGGGGGGAGGAGGCGTTTTGGTTGCTAGAGCGAAATTGTTGTTCTTAGCAGGGAACCCGAAAGTTTGTTACACGCACAAGAACGGTGTACTGTACATAAATTTCCTTCTGTGTCGGTCATTGTGCCTGTGCTCACAACACACCACGAATTCCTTCCACACGGCCAGCTTCTCTGAAAAGTAAGGCAGGCACTCAAACGTCACTTGCCCTGCCACGCAAGCACTGCCCGTTTCTTGGGATTTACGCCAGATCCATTGCCCCAGACAAGCGTGCAACTATCGAGGGCCAGCTCGCTACAACGCGAATTTGCAAACCTGGTCTCTGCAGCAAAACCCCTACGTGCGTGCTGACCACGAGAAAAATAGACACGGGGAGGCAGGATGCGTGGCAAAAGCAGTCTAGGGTGACTGGGTTTGGCAAAGGCAGTCTGGGGTTGGCTGGGGAAAGCTGTTCTCTGACCCGCCGAAACCCTCCCCAACTCACACACATGTGGTCACCATGTGTTTTCTGCTCCATATCCACAAATCCCTAGGCATAGAATAGGGTCAGGGTGGTTGCTTTTGTCGCCTGCTTCCTTTCAAGCGCCTTGTGAAAGCTGCCTTGAGTCTGGAGCTGCTTTGTAGAAATTGTGGAGCTAGAGGTCTTTCAAAGTTGGCTGATGGCGTCGGTCGGTCCCGTCCAGGTAGAGAGTGTTCCTGGCGGTCTCGTGACGCCTTTGCCGATAGTCCGTACTCTGTCGTCTTCTCCCATCTCCCATCTTTTGTTCTTTCACAAAGCGATTAAGGCCGAATTGGACAAGCTTCACACCACTGCGTTGGCCTTAGAGCGCGGCGGAAAGAAGGATACGCAGGTGTTGCTGGAACGCTATGAGTTCCTTAGAATGGTCTACAAGTACCATAGCACGGCAGAAGACGAGGTACGCTGCACTTTAGAGTGCTAAACGGCAACCGTTTCACGCAGGCTTTCAGATTTCTGACGAGTTACTGACAAGGTCGAATTTCTGCCTCAGGTGGTATTCCCTGCGCTGGATTCCCGCGTTAAGAACGTCGCTCATGCGTACACGCTCGAGCATAAAGTGGAGAGCGACCTTTTCGACCAGCTCTCCGACCTTGTATCCAACCTAAGACGCGACGAGACCATGGAACGCAGTCTATTCAGCCAGCTTATCTGCTGCACGGAGGCCTTGCTCACAGTGCTCGTCCAGCATTTGTCCAAAGAGGAAGAGCAGGTCAGTGTCGTAGTAATGGCTACCGTTCTTTCGTTTCTCGTCCCGTCTCGAGGTTTATCGCGAGCTCTCCCGGTTTTTCGCAGACAGCTCACAAGGGTAACGGTTACTTTCTGTCGTTCAGGTGTTTCCGCTGCTGGTGGAGCATTTCGACGCGGTGGAGCAGGCCAATCTGGTCTGGCAATTTATGTGCAGCATGCCGATAAAACTCATGGAAGATTGCCTCCCCTGGATGGCTTCGTATCTCACGGAAAATGAGCAAGAGCAGATGGTGGAGCACATGCACAAGATTGTTCCGCAAGAGGAGCTTTTGCAGGAGGTGGGTATTGTGAGCTTAGCAGTCCAGACGTTGTTTTCAGCCGGCGATGTGCTCGTTTTAACTGTCCTTTCGTGCCTTTTTCTCCCTGTCAGGTGGTTTCTGGTTGGATGAGCCGAATGCATGGCGTGTTCCCGAAAATTCACGAGAGATGGACAGGGTTGATGAAGCCGAAGCTCTTAGGGACTAAAATCGCTCACCAATTGGCCGCTTCAGGATCCAGTGTGGCAGTTCATAAGGCTCCAAAGGGTTCACCTCGGGATTCTACAGCTCCAGGAACCAGGCATCCAATTGACGAGCTGCTGTATTGGCATAATGCAATCAGAAAAGAACTGGAAGCTTTCAACAGAGAAGTGAAAGGCCTGGAGCTCAACACTTTCGACAACCTTACCAGAAGATACCGGTTCCTCTCCGATATCTGCGTTTTTCACAGGTATGTTCGAGCAAGCATTTCCTTTCACAGTTTACATTCTTTTCTTGAACCCCTTGTATTTGTCCAGATTCAGGTCGTTGGGGAATGGCTGACATGGTCCTCCTGTGGCTCCACTTTTTCGTCTCTGCAGCACGGCAGAGGACCAGGTGGTTTTCCCTGCTCTCTCGCAGCGTGTAGACCTTCCAACACGCTATGTACAGGCCCATGCAAACGAGGAGAAGCTCTTCGCTGCAGTAGGGCATCTGCTGGATGAGGTCCGGCATGTGATGGAGCACAGCCCCAGCGCTGCTGAGCCACTGCTCTCAGAGCTGAAGCAACAAGCCTTGACGATTGTCGAGTCCCTGGACCAGCACTTGCAAGCCGAAGAGGATGACGTGAGTTGAAAAAAACACCCCCTTGCCATTCTGAGTGGATTTTTTTCCTCTTCTTCGTTTTGCAGCACGAGTAAAGCAATTGCGTCTACGAATCCAAGCGGAGACATTGGTGTTTGATGTGGTGCAACTTGGCTGTGCAGGTTTTCCCGCTGCTGCGGCAGCACTGCAGTCTGGATGAGCAGCGACGGCTTGTCTACCGCTGCCTGCTGGTCATGCCTCTCCGGCTGCTGGAGCGTGTGCTCCCGTGGGTCATGACGTTCGTCACAAAGGAGGAGGCCACAGAGATTGTTGAAAATATGAAGCTCGCAGGTGAGGGTCTTTTCCTCTCTTTTTTTCAGAAGGGGATGACGAGACTGCCTGCGGATGCACCATGCAGTCAAGACCATGCCAGAAGGCTAACAAAGAGCATGTCTTTTTCTTTGTGTTTTTCTTCGTCTGCAGCTCCGGAGATGGATGTGCCTCTGGTCTCTCTGTTCACATCCTGGGCCAGTAAACACCCACCCCAATCTGACGACACCACGGCATCTCAAGCCTTAGATTCCAGCGTATTCGACATTCCAAGACCATTTTCAACTGTAAAAGCAGGAGACCATTCAGTACACTCAAGCGCATCTGGGGGGGAGGCAGCATCAGGGGAGGTCGGATCGCAGCGTACAGCAGCCAGCCCAAAGGACAGCGTCACTACCCCTCCCTCCAAGCGGGCTAGACTCCTCGGCGGATCATTCCATAGCTTGCCAGCAATCCTAGCCAAACCCGAGCCTCCTCCTCCAATGCAGCTGTCTGCTCCCGACCCGGAATCTCTTGGCTCTAAAGCGCTCAGCTTCTCAAGTACGGCAGGCCGGGCTCTCACTCTCTCATCCGCCACCAGAGGGGGGTTCCTCACAGGAGGCGTGCTGGGTCCAGGGATTTTTTCGAATGACAGAGGAAGCTCATCGAGTCAGCGGCCCATTGACGCTATCTTCCACTTCCACCAGGCGTTGAGAAAGGATCTGGAGTACCTCTCTGCTGAGTCAGCGCGGCTCGCCACGTGCGACGATGATGCCGCCAGGGATTTCAGCGGGCGGTTTCACTTCCTGTGGGGGCTGTACAGGGCTCACAGCAATGCAGAGGACGAGATTGTGTTTCCAGCGCTGGAGGCGAAGGAGGCGCTGCACAATGTGAGCCACTCGTACACGATCGACCACAAGCAGGAGGAGGAGCTCTTCGATGCCATTGCCGGCGTTCTGAACCAGCTCTCAGGGGTCATCTCCTTGATAAAGAAAGCCAAGGCGGTGGCTGCAAAAGCGGAGGAGAGTGGAGGGGAAGCGGAGTGGCAGGAGGCGAGGAAGCAAGTGAAGGAGCTGGAGGAGAGGAGGAGGGAGTTGGCGGAGAGAGTGCATCGGATGAGCCTGTCGGTGCGGCTGTGCCTGGACCAGCATATTTCCCGGGAGGAGCTGGAGTTGTGGCCGCTGTTTGGCATCCACTTCAGCATGGAGGAGCAGGACGCCATTGTGGGGCGCATCATTGGCACCACAGGGGCGGAGGTTCTGCAGGTATGAGATTTTATGGGATAGGTAGCAACCTCTGGAGTTTGCTACTCTGAACTCGTAATGAGTTGTTAATATA